TTGTGCGTGCCAGCCCTTCCTGGCATCGCCGTGCTCGGCGCACGAGGCAACGAGCCCGCCACCGGATTCACAAATCACGACTTCGCGGACTACAGCCCTGGAGGCGGGATCTGCTGCTACTTGCAGCACATCATACAGCTCCAGACTACCGCGAGCTCAGGCACATGGGTCGCAACCAACAGCCCAACAAATGGCGCCAAGACGAGACCTACCACGCCCAGGGTGGTGCAAAGCCATCATGGTCGCCCTCCTGGGAAATGTGGCGTGGAGCCAAGGCTACAGCCAAGCCTTCGACAGGCTACAACGATGTAGTCGTACAGGGATGGAAGCCAACGGCACCGGGGCAGGACCTTGCTACAACGGAACGCTCGACCTCGGCAAGCGACAGTTCGGACAAGATGAAAGCTGTCCAGAAGGCGCTCACACAAGCACGAAAGGCAGAGGCACGGGCGAGAAAAATCCGAGAGGACCAGCAGTACCGAGAACAGCAGTGGGACCTGTGGACCAAGAAGCACAAGGCGGATTTCGTCAAGCAGAGGCGCAAGTTCGAAGCCGATACTGCCAAAGCGAAGGAAGATTTAGAAGCTGCTACGCAAGCAGGCCAACAAGCAGCCATGCACGTACAGATGATAGTCAATGGGAAGACGCTGCCGGAGCCCGAACTCGACGAGGAGGCAGCGGAGTGGGAGGCGCTCATCCGACAGGAGGCCCATCCGCAACCACACGAGAGCTTCATGCAGGACGCCATGAATGCAGTGGCCAGTGCAGGCCTAGCCCTCCCTCATGCTGGACCACACGAGTACGAGTTGCCAGAATCGACAGCCAGCTCCGGGCTCCCAAGACAGCTGAGGCCCGAGATCCTTCAGCAGCTCCTACAACTTGCGAGCCTACACCAAGCAGGCATGACGCCTGCCCCAGGCCTGATGCAGGCTGCGACTGCTCCTCAGGCCTCAGGAATGCCACTTCCCAGTCCAGCGCAACCAGTGGCAACATATGCCGCACCCTCAGTGGAACATGCAGCTGGCACACCTGCTCCCTTTCAGACAGCCTCCCCCAGCACCCTACGACCCGACAAACATTCGGCCGATGTTACCATGGGGGATGGCAACAAGACAGGGACCGCCAAGGATGCCAGATCATCTCCACATCATCCGGGACAGCGTGTTCAGCAACAGGTTCGGGTGCCCACTTCGCAGGCACCACCACGACAAGGCATCAAGGAAGCCTCAGTGGCTGCCACCACGCCACAGCACCAGTCTACAGGGGCGACTTTGGCTGCCAAGCTGGAACATGCAAGAGAACAACTACTCGCAGAACAGGAAAGTCTGGCTGCACAGGCGGCCAAGACCACGGAGACCAACAAGCCCGTGGTCGTCGACGACGATCCCGATCAGGACAAGGAGCCCAACCCTCCGGACCTTCACAAACTTTCATAGTTTTGGCCGAAGGGTTCCAGGCCCGTACCATGGTGTCACAGCAGGACGACAGCTTTGAAGTCCCACCGGAGTTTGGACTGTATTCACCAGTCCTCTCTCCAACGTTGACTTCTGAGCAATGTCTCTCTCCTGTCACACCATGGACGGATGACTGTGAATCCTTCTTTTCTCATGCAGATCGACTGAGGGCATCTGTACAGTTTTTGAACAGCTGTACAGAATCAGTCATCACAGAGGTCCCTCGATGTCCTTGCTCCATTGATAGCGCTTTTTGTCCACTCCGCGCTCTCTCGCCAAGCAAGTCAATGCATTTCCTCCCTTGGGCTATGGGAGGTTGGTGCAAAGACCTGCTCGTCTCCTCTGTTTGGCCATACATGCATTGGGTTTTTGCATGTAATGGCCAGACCCCGCCATGCAAGGCATTCTTGACTACATGCCCACCCATTTTGCCTACCTATAACTGTGTGCCAAAAAGTCAGATCGGTGGCTCTGGGCTGACTACCAGTTACGGTAAGGCATCACACCGCCACCAGCCAGGTTGGCTGCCTTACTGGGAGCCCTTGCACCCCCTTTCCGTGCTCCACCACATCGCTGCTTACCTTCTCCCCATCGTTCGGGTTTACTTTGGGTTGATAGGTTTTGCCCTTCTAGGACTGTTGGTCACGGCACTTCCTTTTCGGTCCTTCAGGAGCCCCAGGTACTTGCTTTCAGCAGCGACTCAGCAATACCAACCCATCCTTTTGGCCTTTGGCAGCATAGCGCGACCACAAGGAATGTCCAGCCCACAGACATTCCCAACAACTAAAAGGCCCCGACGAGCGGTCCCTATCCTGTATCACCGCCGTCCCTTTTTCATGTCAGATTGCAAGACCAGCAGCCTATGCCTTTTCCTATTGGCCTTTTTGCAAATACCGACGTGTCTATGGGCTGCCCCACCGGGCCTACCTGACGCCCTACAAGGCGTCCAGCAGCTATCCAGCCACACACCAGATGTGTTGGAGCCTGCCGGTTATCGTAGAGAACCTCTCCTGCCACTGCCACTTCCTCCTGACATAACAACCCACACCCTTGCTTGTCAGGTCTTTGCCTTTGCGCGACGTTCTCTACGAATCAGCCTGGAGGTCAGAGGTCCAGCAGTTGCCTCAGAGGTTATAGCAGGTCTACACGCACAGCTGACAGACCCATACCTCCGGACGACACACTCCCTCGTGCCAACACGACCCCAGCTTACCGAGACAGCTGCAACAACAGTCTTGGTACCCGAATGGGCTGAACAAGCAAACCAATGTGTTGTCATCTACGACTTTACGTCCTTTGCAGGTCCGGTCTACGCTGGATTTTGCAGCCAAGTTGCAGCACATTACGATATTGCAGATGAAGCAAGGCACCAGGCCATCCACGAGTGGAGTGCCATCCACCTGCCTAGCGGCCAGATACTGTGTGACACTACCAGACTACAGCACGGAGATGTCCTTAAGTTCATTCCCCCAGGTTCATCTCTTTCCCTCACGGGTAGTTTCGAGGTTTTGCTTGCCACACCGGAAGCATGGGACCCCCAGCCTTTCTTTATGGCACAAGAGCGACCGCCTACTTCGTGGCTTGTTTTGAGCAGCAACCATGAGACGCAGATCCAGGGAAATCCCAGTGTCACAGCCCTGCATACCCAGATAGCCCAGGCAATGTACCGGGAACCACCATATGTGCACTTCAGTGAACCTCTCCCTGACTCCTTTGTGGAGGACTATGTGCACCATGGATGGCTCATGCACGGTATCATTGCAGCGGAGCACCGGTCAGAACACATTTTGCCAGGTCCCAACCTAGGTGTATTCTTGTTCTTGGATTGCCGCTTTCTAGGGCAGGGTTTGTTTTTCGCCTTCGAGTCCCCTGGCCTCCATCAGTACCAGGATTATATGCACATCATCCCATCACGCCCTCCAACGGGCTACCAGCGTACATGCCTGGGTCTCGAGCAGTACGAGGGCCTCTGCAGTGTCAAAGAAGGATCCGTCCTTCAGGTTGTCAATGTGCCCGTCACAGCCCAGAGCACCCTTGTTGTGAAGGAGCGCACCTCAATTCCTGGCGATTGTCCGCTCCTATCCGCCGCACCGGTTCAGACGCAAGGGACACTAGCCAGTTTGGACTGCATTACCGATGCTGGTACGGCAAGTACTACCACCATCCGAGGCAAGTTCTTAGTCCTACGACTCGATTGTGCCTCCCTTACCGTTCCTTTCGACATCACCGCCCCGGCCACACTTGAGGACACGATGGAAGCTGTCATGCTGGCTATGCCCAACCATGTGTATTGGCGCTGGCCCCAACTGCAGCCTGTCATACCACAAATTTCCGGTCAGTGGGGCCTTGCCATTGCCCTACCCGCTTGGGCTCGACAGGAGCCCATTATTGTGCTCAATTTGCTCAGAGTCGACGGCAGGCTCTTCCCGGTCACCGCAGCCTTTCGGCTTAACAAGGAACAGCTATGCGAACAGGCAGGCATCCCTGCGGGCCAAGTTGAAGTCTATGCTTTCGGTCGCATCGAGCAGATCACAGACGAAAGTCCCATCGATCTGCTTCCCTACGGCATGGTTTTCTTTGTGCCCCTAGGTCACGGTCCGTCTGTAGGCCATAGTCTAGCACCCATGCTGGTTACACCCTACTGCTGGTTCAACGAGGCACTACCTGCCCACATTGGAGGCCCTGAGAGCCGCCATTTTTGCCTTGTCACACAAGCATGGCATCGCCTTTGCACCTTCGAGGCTACTGAAGATTCTCCGAAGCATCAAGTAGCCCGGTGCCTAGGATGGGATCCCAGGCACACCAGCCTGCAACATACAGTGCCTCTTGTTACAGACGCAACAGTACAGGGCTACCTTTGTCGCGGAGTACTTGCAGCGACAGTACCAGACACAAACATTACGCCTCACCAGCTTGCCTTTGTTGACTGCCGTGCTCTCTTGCACGGCTGGCACCTGCTCTGTTTGCACAACAATCAGTTTTCACATTCAGAGTTGGCCGTGCATCTCGAGACATTTGCGCCACCAGACCATCTTGTCCAAATTGAAGGTGCGGCCCTAGAAGGCGAATATTTGCAACTGGCGCCAGGACAAGTGCTGCTGGCACATTTTGTGCCTGTTACGTCCGTAACAGAACCCGAAGACCCAGAATCTTCGGATGGCCCCCCCTGCCGATCCACCTGATACGGATTCCGACAGTGAGTCGTCTGATCCTGCCGACTTGGATACAACAACAGCACCTGCTGACTCAGACGCAGAGCATCTCTTTCCTGATGACACAGCCACCGCACGACAGCAGCCAAGATCACGCAGTCGGTCGCCGAGGAGACATGAAGGTTCAGCACAAGCCTTTTTCGGGACCAAGGTTGCCCTCCATTGCCTTTTTGCGACCCTTCTTGCCATGCTTGTTGAAAGGTCCACAGGTCAGGCAACACAGGAGAGCACCACCGTCCCTATTTCCATGCAGGGTTACTGGCACCATCAGTTCCTGCTTTGTGCAACCAGTTGCGGGGCTTTCCTCCTGCTTCTTGCAGCCTTTTGTCATAGCATGTCTGTATCCGAGCCCATTGCTGCTCTGCCACGACAAGCTAAGTTGCACCAAGAGCCGGAGTGTACCACTCCAGAACAAAGACAGCAGATCGACTCCCTACGTCATGCAGCACTCACACTGGACGGGAACTGGCCGTTTTCCCGGACCGGGGCACAGCAGCCAGGGCGAGTTTCAGACACTTCATCCGAGTCCGGGGTTTCTGACTCAGAAACCATTGCGTGGGCAAACATACTTGTCTATGCCCCTGACTACACGCCCGAGTTGCTCACCATTGCGTTTCGATTCCCTGCCACCTTAGATGAAGGAGAGCAAATGATCCAGGCAGAGCGCGACCCTGCTCGGGCTCGCATTTTTCCACATATCGTGCCAGCCTTCCCTCAGACACTGCCAGGTGCAGGGGTTTACATTGCCTGTCCACACTGGCAGCCGGATCTACATCTTCTTTTTGTAGATTCGTTAGGTTGGGACGGACGGCACTTTGCCGTGAATATGCCAGCATATGTCACACGACATACGGTGCTGCACATAATTGGGATTGAGTACGACAGCCCTGTGGCAGTCTACATTGGCGACCAGGAAGACCCAGTCCAGACGCATGCCGTCCACACTCGGCCAGGTACGACCATTCTCCTTGTCCCACATGGGCAGACACCCACCCTCAGCCTCGACGCAGCTACCATGATGCAGCGTCCAAGTCTGTGGTCTCAAGACTACGACGTACCACAAGCGCCGCAGACTGCATACCTTGTAGTCGAAGGTGATCAGCAGGTACTCTTTACTTACCGTACCACACACCCCACTCGGTATCGATCTGACCTAGCAGCAGCTCTGGGGATACCCAATCAGCATCTGGCGCTAGTTCCAGCACAGCCGAGGGTCGTTGACGCCTGCCTTCAAGGGCGTCCCTTGCCGCACTGTCATTGCAGCGGCCCGTGTTCCACACACACAGCATTCAGACAGAGATCACTGGGTGCTTATAGACTGCAGGCCCCTTCTCGGAGGATGGCGCAGGTTCCTGGCACCCGCCGGAATCCTACATGTTCCAGACCTTGTTTCTGCCCTGCAGACAACAGTGCCGACCGGACAACACCTTGCACTGCCGGACATCCCCCTAGGGGAGATTTTCTTCCAGGTCGTTTCAGGTCAGGTCTTGCTTGCAGAACTGGACATTCCCCTTCGGCGCCAGATCCTCGCCGCCCCACTCCAAGAGCAGACAAATCACCCAACTCAAGGGCAGACCCACGCAGACGCAAGTGCGCCTCCTTCCGCACCACATCTCCCTCCAGCGGCAGACAGAGAGTCAGCCAGTGGTTCCACAACCGAGGACCCACACGTACAGCGGTCATCACCACAAGACGCTCACTCCCTGGAAACCCGCACTTTTGCGGAGATTCCTTTTCTTGTGCTTGTGCCGGACTACTTACCAGAACTTGTGACAGTCCGACTCAGGCTGCCCATTGGCCAACATGCAGCCCTTGCAAGAGTCTCGGCAGCACGGCACCCCGAGGCACGACGTCGATTCCCCAGATTATTAGCAGTAGACACACAGACCTACTTCGAACGCGGCACACTGCTCGCAGCGCCCGTCTGGGATCGATTAGGGGTTATAGTGTGTTTCGATGTTCGTACCGACTACAGGTTGTTCGCCATCGACGTGCCGCCACGTCTGTACCTACATGACCTGCTCGCGTTGGCAGGCAACCTTGATTCGGAACAGATCGTTGTCTATCACAACAGCCAGCCCTGGCCGATACTACCTGACGTGCAAATCACAGTCGTCACAGGCGATCTCTTGTTGTTTTTGCCACGAGCACACCCGGTTTTTACAACCACCAGGTTGGCCGACATGCTGCAAGACCCCACTTCGTGGAACCCAGATGCAGCTGTACCTGGTGACCACCGGGACCATGCCCTCATCCTTGGGGATAATGGTCCTTTCCTATTTCTTGTACGACGAGGCCGATGGAACCTCGTTCGACAAGATCTAGCAATGCACTTCCAGTGCACGACTGCGCGTATGCTTTTGCGACCAGCCGTTCCCACTGTCGAGGACCATGTGCGGAGGGGTTCCCTCACCAAAGCACTGATTGCTGCTACGGTCTTACCGCCAGGTGAGACCTATGCATCTCCGCGCCTGCACATTATTTTTCTGGACCAGCGACCACTATTGCTCGGCATCACTTGGATCTACGTGCCAGAACCTACCCTAGACCCTGCAGTCTTACAGGCTAGGTATCAAGAACGTTGCCCAGTGGGACATGTCTTGGGTTTTTCTTTGGAAGGCCGCCCCGCACGGCCTTTTAGCGGCCCCATTGAGTTACAAGACGGGGCAGTTTTGGTACTCGAGTACCTCACACGTGCCGATGCCTATGGTGTCCACCAGCCACCACCTTCTGGTGGACCGTCCAGCGGGCCCCCTGACGATTCGTCGGACTCTGATAGTGATCAAGACCGACCAAACCGTAGCCCCCCATTACCCGGAGGTGCCAACACAGCTACCAGTGCCGCAGGCTACGATGCAGGTACAGGCCTACAGGACCCCCTCCTACAGCGCTTGCAGCCACCGTCTCCGCCCGAGGACCCCAGCGCCATAGACCCTGCCACAGTAGAGTAGCCATGTGGGTACGTCAGCAGATCGAAGACCTCCTTTGCACAGGAGTCTGCGTATCCACCTCTGTCCTCCTGTGTCTCGGCATAGCGTTTTTTCTTCGTGCTGCTTTGGAGGCACCACTTCTCGCTGGTGCCTTGTTGTCCTATCTTGATAGCCGAGCAGGTACAAGGCGATTCCATCTCCTTTTAATCTGTTTCCTTTCACAGGCTACTTTTGTGACGGCTATGCAGACAGTTCTGCCTCATGGAATTGTATCGAAGCCGCTCCCACTTGCGCACCACCTGCAGCACCATCCTTCACGGGCAGTACCAACCCCTTGCAGGACCAGCTCTTCAGCAGTGCCGCATTATGAGGACATTACCGATTGGCTCAGGGACGGTCCGACCCTGCTCGAGCAGGCCCTTCAATGTCATGACAACATTGCCATGCAAAGTGCTGCTACTTTTCTCACTATTCTGAGTGAGCACTCCACCCCCCCTGCTTTTGTCTCACAGCAGCCAAGCCCTGCGATTGCAAGCCTCTGTCTTGAGACTGCGCTTCCCCTCACTGACCATCAGAGGCAAAGCTTGACGCTAACGCACCTTCTGCCACACAGCCAGCTAGGGCATGCGCCAGATCCTGCCACTGATTGGCTGGATGCAGATTTCAGAGCATTACTCAATGACTCACATGTCGAGCTCGAATGCCGCACACTCTTCGTCAACTTCCGAACTTGGTACGACGAAGATAGGCCCCCAATCGATTCCGTGCACATTTACTCCGATGGCTCTGCAACGCAGAATTCTGCGGATTTCCGACCGGCTGCCTGGGCCTTTTCAGCTTGGGCAAACTGTGGCAGGCGAACCCTCCTCCTAGGGCACTCTTCCTCTCAGACAGCACCAGAAGGAACGCCCTTCCACATCGGCGAGGCCGATGAGACGGCTTTAACAGCAGAGCTACTCGGGCTCGCTTGGGCTTTAGCTTGGGCAGCGGAATTTGGACGTCATTATGCACCTGCCATTCATTTCGTTTATGACGCTCTCAGTGCAGGTTTAGGTGCTTTCGGCCAAGCAAGTCTGCCAGACGGACCATATAGTCAGCTCGCAAGCCTTGTCGCTTACCTCCGACAATACTTGGAAGCCTTGACAACCGTTACCCACGGGCACGTGCACAGCCATAGAGGTCATCCAGCCAACGAGTTTGTCGATCAGCTTGCCAAACATGCAGCTCGAGGACCTGCTGACCATTGGGACAAGTGCCTACCCACTTGGCTGCCTGCCTTGGCCAAACATCCCTATCGTGCCTGGGCATGGGCTACCCTGCCGCAGCACAAAGACCTTCCTACCCTTTTTGCCTTCGAGTCTGAGGCTTCCCGGCTACAGTCATTGCCCAAACATGACATACAGCCTCCAGCCCTTGCCCAAAAACATATCAGCATGCCACCAGGCGAGGTAATTTATCACCTCTGTGCTATCACCTACAATGTCCTGACTCTGCGGGATCCCAGCCAGCAGCAGCTCCGCAGTCTACCGGTTGGGCTCCGCATGATAGGCAGAAAAGGCATCCTGAAGTCCTCGCTTGCAGTGCACAAACCTTGGCTTATCGGACTCCAAGAGACACGCCTGAATGAGGCGCAGTCGCAGCATGATTCGGACTACTTGATTTACCAGGCACCGGCCGACGCTGCTGGAGCTGGGGGCTGTGCCCTGTGGATCTCCCGGCACTTTACTTATGCCGCGCAAGGGGAACAACGCTTTCAGATCCAAGCCGCGCATGTCACCGTCCTTTCCCACAGCCCCAGACACCTAACCGTGTCTATCACAGCACCGCGCTTGAGATTGCTCGTTGTTGTCCTGCATGCTCCCTCAGCTTCCAATCACCCAGTGCCACAAATCCAAACCTTCTGGGACACCAGAGCGGACGAAATCCGTCGACGCCCTGAAGGAGCAGACTACATTTTGCTCGCTGACAGCAACGCTAGACTTGGCTCCGTAGTTTCGGATCACATGTCCGACTTAGATGCCGAGGAAGAGACAGCAGCTGGCACCCTCTTCCACGATTTCCTAGTGCAAATCGAGGGATATTTGCCTGCAACTTTTTCTGACTGCCATTCTGGGGAGTCAGGCACCTGGCGAATGCCAGACAGTGCGTGGTTCCGTATAGACTACGTCGTCTTACCACTTTCCTGGAAAGGCCTCCAAACAGCCTCCAGTGTCATAGTCGATTTCGAGTCCATGCAGAAGCGGGACGATCACCGGCCAGTCAAAGTCTGCAGCACTTTTGCGAGAGCCCTCGCCGGCAGTGCGTACTGGACCAACCGCCCCCGGGCCATCAGGCCGGAGGCCTCCCTGCGGTGCCAGGCACATACCATCACAGCGCTGCAACAAGTCCAACCCACCGATTGGGAAGTACCTGTTGACGAGCATTACTCGCAGCTCGTCACTGCATGGCACCGTGTGGTTAATTGCCTCCAGGAGCCGGACCGGGATCAGCCCCATCAGCCTTACCTCTCCCTTGAGTCCCTTCAGCTAGTAAGGGCCAGGCAGGCCTTCCGGCGCTATCTTGCGCAGGAACAATCAGAAATCAACCGCCGCCTGAAGATCATCGTTTTCGCTGCCTTTGTCCATCTTGGACGGGCCACAACCTTCACTGCCACCGGCCTTGCAGCAGCCAACAACTGGCTTTGGGTAATGGACTATAGTGTCGCCACGGCCGTTTCTGCCTTGCACTGGTTAGGCACCCGGCTTAGGACTGCCGTTGCTGCCGATCGGCGTGCATACTTGGACTCACTTGTCGCAGCTGCGGCTGCGCGAGATTTCAAGACACCTCGGGAACTTTACCAGGCAATTCGCAAGGCATTTCCCGCTGCGGCGTCATCGCGCCGCAGCCGTTTCCAACCATTGCCCATGCTTGCTACGCAAGAAGGTGAGCCATTGCCAACGTCCGAGGCCAGGGCCGAAGCTTGGCGTGCCCACTTCTCAGCACAAGAATCAGGGGTCACCGTCACACCGGAAGAATATGTGCAGCACCTTGTTTGTCAAAAGAGTCAGGCCACCCAGGTCCCCTTCAGCCTTGGTGCATTGCCCACCCTCTGTAAGACTGAGCAAGTCGTCCTCAACATGCGCCTCAACAAGGCCGCAGGACCCGACAGCCTGACATGCGAAACCCTCCGTTTGCACACCCCTACCACTACCCGACAACTTTTCCCCGTCATAGCCAAAACTGTGCTCCGAATCCAGGAGCCCACCCTTTGGAGAGGCGGGGAGCTTTTTGTGCTGGCGAAGCGTGCTGGCGCATCCATGACATGTGACAGTTTCCGTTCCATCATGGTTACCAGTATTGCTAGCAAGGTCATGCACAAATGCTTGCGGGATGAGCTCAAGCCAGCTCTCCTAGCCAGCCAGCATCAACTGCAAGGAGGGGTCCGCCCCGGCCTGGGCATAGAAACACCGATCTTAGCTGTCAAGACCTATGCACTACTCTCGGAGGCCGCAAAACAGCCATGGGCAATAGGGTTTGTTGACTTGCAGGCTGCCTTTTATTCGGTAATTAGGCAAACACTGGTAAGCAATCCAGATAGTGATGCTGGCTATCTGGAGTTGCTTCACGCCTTGCAAGTGCCTGACTATGCCCTTCACGAGCTGAAGCAACATTTGCAGTCCCTTGCCGAATTGCCGAGGTTGGGTGTGAATCCTCACACCATCGCTCTAGTACGGGATTTGTTCGAGGGTTCATGGTTCAGAATGACTAACAACCCAACCCTCACGCAAACTCGACGTGGCTCGCGCCCTGGCGACCCAGCAGCTGACATCTTGTTCTCGTTCACACTGTCAGCACTCTTCCGCCGGCTGGCCGAGTCCTTGCAACAGCACAACCTCGGCGTCTCTGTACCAATCCCTGACAGCCGTCCGGAATGGTCCGGCCATGCCGATACGACGACCATCGGAAACCCGGCATGGGCAGATGATTTCGTTGTCCCCCAATCTGGGGCCGATCCCTCCACCTTACTGACCAGAACACAGCTTAGCTTTGGGCTGCTGTACGCTCACACCAACTGCCTAGGCATGAAAATCAAATTTGGGCCAGAAAAGACAGCACTGCTCCTTTCGGAGTCAGCACGTGCCCAGCTGCTCCCCCTGCTGGATTTGCAGGCGGATGGTACGGCCTGTATGCCATTTCAGGATCCACGAGATCTTACTTGGCACAAAGTGCCAGTAATCCAAGCCTACCGCCATCTTGGAGGGGTCTTGACCTCTCCGATTACCCCAGTTCCCGATTTGCATTTCCGCTATTCGCGAGCAGAAGGCACAGCCAGACCCTTGCGCAGATGCTTCTTCACCTCCCAACGATTCTCCCTGGCAGTTCGCCGCAACCTTCTCAGGTCACTTGTCATCTCCAAATACGTCCACTCGAGTTCGGCTCTCGTACTTCGATGTGCGACACACATCAAACTTTGGGAGAGACAATACATTGCGTTGTGGCGCAATCTATGCAGGCGCATCGACAAGGAGACGCTGCTCCATCCTTTCGAAGTCCTTCACCAAGCCGAGGCCCTTACGCCTCCACTTGCCCTAGCCAAGGCCAGAGCGGGTTTTCTGACCAAACTCCTTCATGAAGGATCTGAGCTCCTCCTCACCCTTCTATGTGATCATTGGTTGCTACATCCCTCTTCCTCATGGCTCGGTCAACTCGAGATGGATGTGAACTATGTCGGGCAGTACGTGCCAGGTTTGAGGGCAGTCCTTGGAGCTCCTTCTAAAGACTCCGGCCCCTCAGATGCAGTTCCTGCACTCATCACCGCCATCAGGGAAAATCGCAAGTGGTGGCTATACCAGGTCACAAAAGCAGAACGCATCCAGACCGAGGAACTTGCGATCTGTGCCAAATGCTTGCGCCAAGCGCGGGACAATCCCACCTTGCCAGCAGCACTGCCTTCCACCTCGGACTGTCTTCCTTTTGCGTGCGAGGTTTGTTCCGCCCGTTTTGCTCTGCGCAAGCACCTTTGCTTGCATGCAGCCAAGGCGCATGGACTTCTCAGCCCTGCAAGACATTATGCATTGACCGATTGGTGTACGGCCTGTCACCGCTATTATGCAGGAGTGCGTCAGGTCCAACAACACCTCAAGCACTACCCGCAATGCCTCAGGCGGTGTGTGGACCTATATCCACCACTCGAGCCATGCCAAATCCAACAGCTAGAACGGCCTTCCGTGTCGTTGGCTAAGAAAGTCAAAGCAGGCGCATGGCAGAACTACCAGGGCCGAATACCGGTCAAGGTCCCTGTCATTTACGGCCCATTCCTCCCCACGGCGCAAGAACGTAAGTTCCAATGTGACGAGGAGGACGAGGACACACTGTTATCGGATCTCCGCGCACCATACACGCCGAAGGCGTCAACGGTGAAGTGGATTGAGGACTATTTGGACCAGAAGTCCACAGAAGGGCCACGCGTCGCATCTGTGAGATACTGGTCAAAACGACCGGCAACAGTGCTCCTCGACCAAGCCCAGTTTCACTCGAATTCATCTTTAGCCAGAATTTTGGACGCGCATTATTGAATGCACTGGAGTCCACCCAGAACAGAACAGAAATACTATATTGGTGGTTCCTTATTATAGTTATAGTATGATGGAATCATTAAGGCCCCTTTATTAACCCCGAAACCGAAGGCCGTATAGGAACCCTTGACAGAGTCCTGTACAAAACTCTACACCCCTGAACTCTAAACTCCAAACCCTAGCCTGCCCGAAATCGGGCCTTCGAGCGCACAGCGAGAAGAGGGGCCCTTGAAACAACAAACATAGCCTGGGATGCCCAGTAGTACCCTTATTCCCTTTTTGTAGTCCTAGGTTCCTTTTAAAGTTACCCAATACGAAAAAGAGATGCCTTTTTATTCTTAGGTTACTGGGTATCCTAGTTGAGAATCTTAAGGAACATACCTTAAATTATAGGGGCCTTAATATTATGATTTAAGGTATATTCCTTAATTAAGGGGTATTGGGTTCTCTGGGATAGCACCAACAACTCCAAGCCCTGTCGTCCTGAACTCGTCCTGGGCCTTGGAGCACCATACTTTAATACTTTTGTTCTTAGCGGAACCAGTATGAACTTTGAGTTTATACTTTTATCCCGCTGGTTTCTTAAAGCCTAAACCCTAAAGCATAAACCCTAAAAGCCCGGCGTCTCTGTGGCAAGATGGAGCTCCTCAAGTTGGGAGAGGATTGCAGGCAGGTTGTGCACAATGGGGTTGGTGTGTTAGGGATGTGGGGTTTATTAGGGCTTCTGTTGGTTTTTAGGTTTGGGGTTGAGGGATTTCCGGGTTCAGGTATTTTTGGGGAAGTTTGGGCTATTTTTGTGTCCATGTGGCAGCATGGTGGGCTTAGAGGGGTTTGGTAGGGCTTCCCAGGATTCCAGCGTTGCACTGGGTCCTTAATAGGGTCAGCATGCATTCCTCGTGGCGATGGCATTGAGAGTTGTGTCATGCTGCATCTATCTAACTCATGTTTGCTTATACACTGACTGTTATTTACTGGCATCTTTAATGTAGAAAGGTGGAACTGTTTGAGTATATCTTGTGTCTTGAACCTTGCTGCATCCCAGTTTGTCATGGTTGGTCAACACGTGCACATACAATGAATTTCAACCCTGGGTTTGTCTCTGTGTGTGTGTCACGCCGAGAACACAGAGCAACACTAGACAAAAGAATATACGACCATAGAGACAGCTTCCCTTCATCATATTCCCCTAGACCAAGCCCTCGACATTCTAAACCCCAAACCCTTACGCCATCGAGCCACTCAGTAGGTTTTCGTGGGCTTGGCATTTATGTAAATGGCCTTTAAATAGCCGTGCTAAAAACATGGAACGACGGAACATATCCACCCTAAACCCTAAAACCCTAAACCAATGTGGGCTTAGGATTTGGACGAAGTTGAGGGTTGGGCAGGGCATGGTGCAGGCACGGCAGTTACTGGTCAGTGTGCCTCGCACCCAGTAGCTTTGGGAGGACCTCGCGGCATGTCCCACAAAAATCCTGAGACACTCATCTGTAAAGCCCCAAACACGAGTCAAGGCAGGCTCCGACCCTGCTTCGCCGCACGCAGAAAAGGGCCATTACACTTCCCCCAATGAGGACGATTTCTTAAAACTCCCAAATGAGGACTATTCCTGTAAAGTAAAAGCCAGAAAGTTGGAATATGATTATCCTAAACCCATTATGGTAAATTATAAGGTATCCTACCCTGAAACCATATTCCAACCTTCTGGAGTTCCCTTTATTGCCTTGGGATCCAATTCTGCTCTCGCGACAGGTCTCAGTGCATGAGCTCGGCAGAGGCCTTGACCTCGCTCCCAGGAGCGATTGAAAAAAGCTCCGTACTTTTCTAGGTTGGATTTTGGGACATTTTGTATTTTCCCTATTTGGGTTTGTAAGGGACCCTGTATATAAATATTTTTCAGGGTGTTTAAAGGCCAACCCAGTTTTGGTTTAAAGATTCTGCTTTGGGATTTGGGGCTTCGGGTGTTCCTGTAGCCCCAAACCCTACAAAAGAGTAGGTTATGACCCCTTTACTCTTTGGGTCTAACGCTTAAAACGGTAGGTTTTCGGATCCCAAGGTTTCATCTACGGATTTATAGGTTCAGGGATTCGGAGTGTCGGACATCGTCAGCGAGCCCCAGAGCCCTGTTCAATACGGGTTCGACAAGTGGGTTCTTTAAGAGCTAAGTGTCCATCTCTCTCAGAAGACGGGAGTGTTCCGGGTGCCCGAGGAAGAATGCAAGACAGAGGAAGAATACCGGACAGATAGAGGCAGAAGGATTGGGGTTTTGGGGTTGAGGTTGTAGCAGGGTTTCCCCAAAGACACCCTAAACCCTAAACCCTAAAACCCTAAACCGGTTCCTCAAAGACGCTCACATGTGCTCCGTAGACTCCATAGAACTCCAAGAAGGCGAGGTTGAGGGTTAATATAGGGGCCTCAATAATTACCTATACTATCGTCTTAGTAGCTGAGTGGATACACTTTACACTTGTTGGTATAATATTATCCACTATAAAACTGAAAGTGTACGCTTTCGGGGGCTTATGAACTCAGCAACTAAGTTGTGGGGTTCCGTCCTATAATTCTAGTATAATATACCCACAGAACTCTATTCTAATTATTAAGGCGATTATATTACCCTAAACCCTAAACCCCAAGCTGCCAGGAACGGAAAGCGATGTGGTCCTACAGGAGAAGGCGAGGTGGCAAGAGGGTCTCTAGGGGATCTATAGTAGGGTTCTATATCAGGGGCCTCTAAGGGGTTCTTTAAAGTGTAGGATTGAAGTTTTAGCGTTTAGGGTTTATAAGAAGCACTCCTACTTCTCCTCCTCTTACGACGACGATTACTGGTACTGCTCCTGCACCAACAATAAAATCAAGCCTAAGACCCATAAGACTCAAGAGTAATTTGGGTTTGGGAAGAAGTAGACCATAATTTCCGAGGTAAGCTGCAAAGCTTGCAGGCAGGTTTAGTGCTGGAGGCATTCTCCACGCCCCAAAACATCAGGTCTTCCCGAAATCCGGAGCCCTGCCCTTTATGCTTCAACCTCTTGAGGCCCCTATACTATAGCACCCTTACAATATCCCGTATACGTTCCTTTTAAAGGAACCCTGAAAAGGAACCTATAATGCCCCAAAAGCAGCGTCGAGTTTGGGATTTGTCGGGTATTCTGTCTTGGCGCGTTCAGGGATGTCAGACCCGAAGGGACCCGGGCCCTCCTAAAACCCTACTAGGATGCCCAGTAGTACCCTTATTCCCTTTTTGTAGTCCGAGGTTCCTTATAAAGTTACCCAATACCAAAAAGAGAGGCCTTTGTATTCTTAGGTTACTGGGTATCCTAGAACCCTAAACCCTACCTGAAAGATCATGGGACTTCCCCAAGGGTCGGTTTTAGGATAGCAACTCTGTAGGTTAGGATTTGAAGAGTATATGACTAGCGGGAACTTGGACCCTTCGGGCTTACTGATTGGGGATATATGAGGGTTTGGGGTCAAAGGATCATGGGACTTAGTAACTTAAAGGGCTCCTTAAAAGGTTCCTGCAAGGGTTCTATAAGGATCTATAAGAGTTTAGGCTTGAAGGGTCATGGGACTTAGTAATTGGGGTTTTAAGTAAGGCAACTACAGACATAGAACTGTGGTGTGTGGGGCGCTTAGTGCCCCTTCAGCGTGCTGTTGCTGTACTGTTGCAGTCGCTATTGGGGCTTGTGCTGAGCTGTCTCCTTTGTGTGACGCTGCTGTTTTTGTCCGCTCGAGCTTAACCCTAAACCCTAAACCCTATTAACTGTTAAGCTTAGCTTAATGGTCTCGGATAGGATGGACAATTCGTCCATGCCTCCCGATAATGCTTGGGTGACTATTTTCTCCCCATGCTTGGAAGGGCAGGGGACTTAGTAAGTAGGTTATAAGTAGGGTTACAATTGGGGTAACTCCATTTAGGGCACTTATAAACTTATAACCTACTTACTAAGTCCCCTGCCCTTCCAAGTAATGTTCGTGCTTATGCCAATGCGCATGGAGGAGCTGCGTGCTGTGGAAGCTTCTCTCGTTGTGAGAGATACGCACTCTACGAGTGGGTGCACAGCTGGCTATTCGGCTCCAGCACCTGCTGAAGTGTGTGGTGATGTTCCTGTCTCGGGTAAAATTACCTTTGCTGCTTCGACCACGGCACCTCCTGTGATGACAACCGGTATGTCTGTGAATACTCCGGCACCCAATATCAATGCACCTCCGTGGTGCATTTGCGGCGGTATGTGCGGGGCATGCAGCCGCAATTTCTGCTCAAAGGACTCAGCTCCCTCCTGTCGCTGTTACAATTGTCACCGCGAGCTGCGGGGTGGACACCGCCGACACTAAGCTGTCTTGAGCATGCATTGGCGTGATGAAACGACTCAATATTTACATTGAGCGAAAGAGGAACCTGTAACGATGACCCTTTAACAGGAATCCTGAGAAAGGAACTTTCAGGGCGACGGTGTGCAGGTTTCCGTGGGGCCATCACTGCTTGCTTAATCACCTAAACCCTAAACCCTAAACCCGGCCAGAGCCAGAAGTGATGCTTGCTTCCATTGCCTCAGCGGCGCGGCGGCTGTTGTAGAACCTTCTCTCCCAAATCACTAGAGCCGGTGGAGTACTTACAGTAGAAGCCCAAAAGTTGGAAACCCAATAGCCTCAATTCTTAAGAGTCATGTATAGGGAATCCCAGCACTAGTTGTCCTTAATCCTGTTTCCACTCCACGTTTTTGGGGTTTACTATAGAGTCGATGCGGGCAAACAAACTCTAAACCCTAAGCCCTAAACCCTGCTCGCAAGTGTCGGGTTTTCGTTCTGTCCAAGGACGAGGTACAGCGAGACCGTACGCTGTCGATATGTCTGGCAAACCTCCATAGTGCTCTTGTAGTTACTT